GTGTCACTGCTTTATCCCTCCACATCCCGTTGGTGCATCGTCGGTGATCATGGATTTGGCACGGCATAGAGTCCTAGTCCTGGAGTAGTAGGATTTCCGAATTCTGCGTGGGCGTGCGTGCGTGCGTGGTCGTGGAGGGAGATGGCCACCTGCAAACTGCAACTGATCATGGCACCGAGATCGAGATGCTGCTGGCGAATCTGTGGCAGTGTGGATCAGGCCGTGCTGCATGCAAAGCAGTGCCGGTCGGTGGCAGTGCCAGTTCCCACCAATCACACGCCGTGCCTTTAACCCGGCGTCTCATCTCATCTCCTGTACTTGGCTTGGGCTTGGGGGGCCGATGTAAAGCGAGCTGCGACAATTGCAGGCGATCAGACCCCTCTGTGTGTGTGCGCGCGCGCAAAAGTAGCTTTGGCCACCTTTCTTTCCCTGGATCCCATGGAGTATCATCCCTAGGGCTTTGCAAACGGCATATACTGCATGCACAGCGCCCTAGTTGATCATCTTTGCCATCACGAGAGCAAAGCTATTTTTCTACACATTCTGCTTCTCCTTGCGTTGTGTGTGTGTTTGTGTGTGTGTGTGTGTGTGTGGCTTTCTGCATGTTCAATTTCGGCATCGTCCCAACAATTGGTCGGCACATGTCACTCTGCAAGTATCTTTGGCTTTGACAAACAAGTACTGAAGCTCCACACGAAAGAAAAGAAAAGAAAAGAAAAGTGCACCCACGAAGAGAAAAGAGGACGGAAGACAAATCTGACATGTATACTATCGTTGCAACTGGAATCTGCAGCATTGATCCATCCATCTCAACTTGTGAAGAAGAGGGTCCATATCTTCTGGCGGATGTCTGCCGTGCCTGCCTGCCCCACGCAAAAAGGAAAGCACTGGTGGGAGGCGTCTTTGTACCGGCCGCTACGACAAGCCTCCAAGTTTGCGTGCATGCAAAAAAAAGAAAGAATCTGTGCATGTGAGCCACGAGAAACTGATTTGCATCTCTGTCTTTCAAAAAAAAAGAGAAATATGCATGCATCTCTATCAAACTGAATTGCATCTAACAATCATTTCTCCCAAATGGAGGGGGCTTGCATCTATATATCAAACCAAATCGTGATACATGGACGAAACTTTGACAAAAATGCTGAAGTGGGGTTCAACCTAGGGCTAAAACATGCACTAAAAAAACAAGATTTGAACAGAAAAAATCAGGGTTAATTTGAGCTAAACTTGGTTAGCAAGGTGATGTTTGTCGTTCCTGCCCACGCGAAAAGGAAAGCGGTGGAGGGAGGCATCTTTGTTGTACCGGCCGCTAGGACAAGGCTGCATGCTTGTGCGTGAGCCATGAGAAACATGCATGCATCTCTCTCTCTCTCTCTCTCTCTCTCTCTCTCTCTCTCTCTCATCATTTTCTCTGAGTTATGTCACTGTAGTGTAGGATTACAGACGTTTATAGAAGCAATCATTTTATGCAAGGCAGGATCCAATTGCGCAGCCCAGAAAGTACAAGGCGTGCATGGCCGAAACAAGGAACAAGTACGTACGTATCAAGTGGTGGTGGTCATACTGCTGGAACGGATCCTCCAACTTAAATTTTCGGTCTACTTTGTCTCGCAGTCCAGTGTCCAGTTCAATTAAGGGATGATGCATTTTCCACTTTTCATTCAAGAAAAGAATCTGCGAGCAGATGAAACACCGATTTAACTCTAGTTTGTGTGTAGAAAGAAGAAGTGAAAAACTCCAACTACCAAATCTACCAACAGTCTACTACGTGACGGCATGTAATCTACTATACACACAAACAATTTTCATCATGGATCGATTGTAGAAGCCATGCAGAAACCATCACATCAAGAAGAGATCCGCCTGGGCCGTGCCATGATGTCCCGTCCAGATTTCCTGGTAGCTAGGTGTGCTAGGCCTAGCTGCACCTTTCTCGTGATCCACTCCACACATGGTGCACTGCCATGTCCTCTCACACGCTGGCATCAGCCTTCCTCCGGGGTCAAAGCTTCGGACCATGGTAAGTCCACACCGATTTTGCCATCCAACACAGTGCCCTATGATTCGTGTCATCTGAATTTCCGCAAACTGGCATCAAATCTAGGGAAGTTTGCGGGTGTCTAGACTCATGCCACGTACGCGTCTAACTATGCGGTCCCACCAGAACTCATTCCCGCGCCTCCTGCTCTCGAAAGATCGCCACACATTCATATCAGTCAGCCGCTATTGAGCGGATGCGACTAGATGCACCCGCTGCCGAGCGACGTGACCGGACGGGATGGTGGCGCAACTTCAATTCATGTGAACGCGCTGACTGAGAAGCCCACTCAAACCGTTGTGCCACATTGAAGCGATGTCGTTCCGCATGCCCTGACTATTGAAACAGAGCGCCGACGTCAGCCACAACACATCTTATCTCCTCTTCACGCCCCGCCGCCCGACTGCTCTCCTCTCCGCTTACCACCGTCACCGCTCCTTCCCTCTACACAACAAAGATGACCAAGTCCGGCTAGAGCAGCTGGTTTTTGGTGCCGGCCGGTGGATACGCCTTTCTAGGCGGATCATGTGGTGCTGCCCACCTTCTCCGAGGACTTCCTCCTCCGCTACCTTGACGAACAAGGAGGGGATTGTGCACTCCTCCGAATAGGAGCTGGAGCAACCACAACTGCCCCTCCCCGCGAAAGACGCAATGTCGGAACAGGAGTATTAGGTGTACCTAGAGCTCCTCCTTGAGCTATTGCTATGCAACCATGGTCAACCACTTTCCTCGCCGCCTTTACACTATGTCACGGACAAGCCAGCCTTGCCCCTGCATCAAGCGGGATCCCCTCCCCCCATGCTGCGTGGAGGAGGAATCGCCGCGTAGCACGTTGTGCCTCTTCGACCGGTCGGCGCCATCGTCATCCAGCCTCTGGCACAACAACAAGAGGACACTGACATCACTGCCTTTCCGACGCCCGGTCACCATGAAGGAGGCCTCCTCGGCGCTCGTGGACACCCATGGGCGCCTCCTGCATTATCTAGGTGACGACGCAGCGCATACCGCCGAGGAGCGTTTCATACGTCCAACTTCGCCCAAGATTGGGTCCTCGCGCCAATAGAGGCCTGGGCCCTGACCGGTCCAGAACCACCACGAAGACGTCCGGGCGGCACAGGCGGCGCCTCAACGACTAGCTCACGCAGCTCAGATGCTCTTACACCATTCCACGGTTGTTTTTGTTTCTAGTTATGGTCATTTAATGACTAAATATAATGCGTATCGCCGACCAACTTTTGCTACGTCGGACGTCGCCCCAGACTGGGTCCTCGCGGACCTTGCGTTAACAGAGGCATGGGACCTCGACCGGTCCAGGACCATCGCAAAGATGTCCGCGCGGCAAGGGCGTCGTTTAAACAACCAACTCACCCAGCTCAGATGCTCTTACACCATTCGACAGTTGTTTTTGCAGCTAGTTATGGCCATTTATGAGTAAATATAACGTGTATGACATCGGGGGATGCCCCAGACTGGGTCCTTGCGGACCCTGCACTGACGGAGGCCTAGCCTTGACCGGTCTGTTGGAAATATGAGCAATTTACCGAATGATTTTATTAACAGAAATACTAGATAAAGCATGACTAAAACAGCAAATATAAAGTAAGTCATGCAATCTGACAGAGAGAAGGTAAACATCGTCTGCATATATGAACTTGAGCTAAACACATGTAGAACAAACACTAGATGAAGTTGCTTATACGACATAGAACCTAACATACGTAGGGCAGAAACTAGAGCCAAAAACTGTAGCAGGACTTCTAATAGAAAGGAGAAAAACACGTACGACACAACAGCAGCAGAAGCGCTGGACTTGGGCGGGGCGGGACGGGTGGCGGAGGAGGAGCGCGCGTGGATGTCCCTCTTGTTCTCATGCTCATACAAGTGGGGAAGGAGCCTCCCTTATAAAGAGGTCCAACTCCCTCTAAACTAGCAATGTGGGACTAAACTTTAGCAGTATCCCTTGCCTTGCACAAATGGGCTAAGTGGGCCTCTAGGATTTATTAGGAATTTCTGAAATAGTCATTGGGCTGCCCCAATATAGACTAAATTCCAGCAATCCAGGACCACCGAGAAGACGTCCGTGCAACACGGGTGTCGCCTCACCGACCAGCTCACCAAGAACGGCGCCAGAGATTCCTACATCACATCCACAGTTGTTTTTGCAGCTAGCCATTGGACAGATGAATTTATTTGCAACTTGATTTTGAGCCATAAATTTTCTCTTGTTTAGCGTATGTAAAGTGTTACTCCCCCGTTCTTAAATATAGGTCTTTCTAGAGATTTCAACAAATGACTACATACAGAACAAAATGAATGAATCTACACTTTAAACTATGTTTATATACATCCGTATATTCTAGTTCATGTGAAATATTTGATTTATACTCCCTCTGTTCCAAAAAATTTGCCTTAGATTTTTCTTGATACGGATGTATCTAACACCAAAACATAACTAGATACATCCGTATTTAGACAAAACTAAGATATAAATTTTGGGACGGAGGGAGTATTTAGTAATGGAGGGAGTAGTTTCGTGTGATCTGTTTCTTGCATTTTTCAGAAGCGGAGAAATATCATATCGAGAGGATAGAATGGACGACTTGCTACACGACAGGAGCGGAGCGTGTTCCGAAGAGCCGACCGTTCGGGCCCACTTGGCAGCGGGAGTTGCTTCCCGTATCGGCCCATCGGGCGCGTGAGAACCGAGGACTAGTCGTTGATACGTCGGGCCCCACCTGTCTGTCCGACTGTCTGCCTGGCGAGTGAGAGTGAGACAGACGAGAGCAGCAGATCAGTAGACCGCGGCGAGATACGCACACACGCCGTGTCTCCTCGCCGCCGCTCCGCCGCTATAAAACGAGCGCCCCCTGGAGGAGACAGCCACCCTATCCCATCTCGCCACCGGCAACCCATTCGCACGTGCCACAGTCGATCGCCATCCAGTTCTCTCCTCTCCTCCCTCATGGCGCCCACGCCCTCCTTCCTCTTCGGCGCCGCCCCGGAGGACACGCCGGCGGCTGACATGTCGGCCCATGCCATGGTGCCAGACCTCTCCGACGCGGTGGCGCGGGCGAGGCTGCGCCGGCAGGCGGCGTCCGGGCCGGGGAGGCAGCAGGCGGCCTCCCGCGGCGGGGCGCTGCCCAGGAAGACCCCGCAGCGCGGCCTCGGCGTGGCGGAGCTCGAGCGCCTGCGCTGCGGCGGCGTCGACCCGCTGCGCGACCTCAACGCCGCGGCCGCGGCCGCCATGCTGGAGGCCGCCGCCGCCAACCTGCAGGCGCAGGGCAACTCCGTCGTCCTGCAGCACCACCACGACTACCTGCCCGCCTTCGACGCCGCCACCGGCTCGCGCTACTACTCGCCGCTCCTGGTCCAGCCGCCGCCCGCCCCTCCGGCGCCGCAGCCGCAGCCGCAGGCTCCCGTCCGCTACGTCCAGGGCATGGCGCCCGAGCAGCAGTACTTCATGGACCGCTGGGACCGCATGGGGGGCTTCGTCCCGGCGGGCAGTGGCCACCAGCCGCAGCTCCAGGTGCCGGCGCCAGAGTGCCCTTCAAGCCAAAGCACCATCTGGCGTCCGGCGTGCTCCTCCGCCTCCTGCGGCTGCCTCCACGCGGGCCAACGCTGCGACCTCTGCTCCAAGGTACTCCGTCCGTCCACATCCAAAATTCCAGAACTTTCTACTCCTCCCAGATTCATTTTTTGCTGTGCCAATTAACCAATCTTGTCTTCCTTCCTGCGCGTCTGTGTTGATCTTCAGATGATGGTGGCCATGGCAGATAGAGGAACAAGGAGCCCTGCCACCGCCACCGCCAACGCGCCATACTACTCCATCTACGATCTCGCCGCCACCATGGCCATGACCGCCGCTTGCAAGGTACGTGAATTGGTTCCACGCGTTTGCAAATCCATCTAGATTTGTCAGAACCAACTGATGATTGTGTTGCAACACCCGATCGATATGCTATGCAGGAGACGACCGGACAAGGGTTCTTGGCACCGGAGGGGAGGAAGGAGGTGCGGGAGATCGAGTTCTTCCCGACGAGGGTCACCAGCCACGGCGGTCCAGACGAGTCAGAGCTGCGTAGGACGCCGCCTTCCTCCTCCTGGCCGTCCGGCGGCGTCGGTGGCTCCCTGGACCTGTCCCTGAGGCTCTAGCTAGGGCTTGGACTTCCGATCAGTATCAGGTCGTAGATCCATGAACGAGTTCTTAGATTGTTTTGATTAATCTTTGCCATTTCGGGAGCTAATTACAGTTTGCCAAAACATACATGTGTCGGATGAGAACAAGATGAATGCCCCTAGTGCCGTTTTAACTAGAGTAATTAATTTGGTGAAGTGTAATGGTACTCTAGACGATTCGTATATCATATCACAATCCAGCCAATTAATGTTTCCGGTGATCTATATACTACTACCCCTTTCCTTTTTAATTCATTGCAATCTTTTGAAATTCCGAATATTTTCTGGTTCGGGAATATATTTTTAATTCACAAACGTTTATTCAAATTCATGAATATTTTTTGGATTTATGTACATTTTTTGTGAACCTTTTCAATTCAGGTGTATGCTTTGATATTCACAAACATTATTTGAATTCGCGATCATTTTCGGAAATTAGGTAACTCTTCTGAATTCAAGAATAGTTTTTGAAAACTTCCAAACATATTTGGAATTCATATATTTTTCTTTTAGCCGGGGGGCACTAGAAAGAAAAACAGTGGAGCGAGAACTACCACAAAAGCAATAGAGCAATTTTTTTTTTTTTGAGAAACAAAAGTAGAGCAAGCTAAAATACACAAACGGTTGCGCTGGGAAAAAACACTATTGTGCCCGTCCCATAGCGCAAGGTGCTGCATGAGCGGCTTCTCTTGGGCCATAGTGAGTAGGAGGACTTAATCTCAAAGGAAAAAAAAGTGAGTAGGTGAAATCGGTGTCAGTGTGCTAAATAATAAAACAAATTCAAATAACTGCTACTTTGATGAAAACACATAAAATGATACGTAACATAATTGCTATAAACATTTGTACCGTCAAAGTTTAAGGAGCTCGATCTAAAATCAAGCTCGTAGACTCCGCGTTTGGAGGTTGTGAAGGGCTGGTTTGGAGTGCATTCCGAACACGACCGCACGCGCGCAAAGGAAACTTTACCTTCTTGCTCCTCACGCCTCTCCACCCCTACTCTCTTTGTTTTAGGTGTTGTTGCTACTCGTACAAACTCACCCCTACGCTCTTTCTTTTAGGTGGCGGTGTTACTGGGACAACTCACACCAACACAACGAAATCACCAACAACGTGGCTTCTAAACATCGTCAGATCCAAAGAAAAAAAACCACCGTCAGACGACCTGCCATTATTGGCATGATCGATCGCGATTGTTGTTGGAAAGCTGGTAAGACGCTCAACACTGACAACGTCCTCGACTAGCCACATTGCGTATATTATATTACTCCCTCCGTTCCTAAATACAAGTTTTTATAGAGATTTCACAATGAACCACATACGGATGTATATAGATGCATTTTACAGTGTAGATTCACCCATTTTGCTTCGCATGTAGTCCATAATAGAATCTCTACAAAGACTTATATTTAGGAATGGAGGGAGTAGTACTTAACAAATGCCGCTTAATGACATTTTAAGTCAAATTACATGTAAAATTTGTGATAGATTTTGACTCATATTATAGAAAAATTTGAGTATTTCAAATGTGGTTTGTTTATAATCTACTTTAATCTTTGTTTGACTGCATACTAGTATAGTAACTATTAATTTCAAACAAAAGCAAAAGAAAATACGAAGGCTGCAGTATGCTGCCTCAAGTCTGGAACTGCTAGTGCGGACACATGTCTGTTTCTGTTTGCAGTGCAATTGGCCAGGCCTTTGGCCTCTCCAGACTCAAAAGCAGATTTTGTTTCCTCCCTCCATGGCTAATCAGGGGGGCCAAGCTAGAGCCGTAGAGCGCAGCAGCAGCATGAGGTGAGGTGAGGTGAGGTGAGGAGTATCTGTGGTGGCAGGCAAGCACCGATCCAATCGAGCACACACACGGCGCGCGCGGATGGCATGATCAATGCCACTGCCACTGCCGGAGGGGCACGGTGCTGCTGCCGCAAGCGGCTGCCGGCCGGGGCGCGCGCATGCTGCCGCGGCAGCGAAAGGGGCAGCCATGGAAACCGAAGCGGATCCCAGCGCAGATACGACCGATCTTCCGGTCGTCGTCCCATCCCGATCCCGTGCATGCAAACTACTACCCGTCTCCAAAGTCCTCTCCTGGCTCTGTTTTGTGTGTGTGTGCGTGTGAGATACCACGTCTTCTGCCATCTAAATTCTAATAATCTAATCTACATACACAGTTCTTAGTTCTCATACATCACAGAAACATCTCACCTACATACATAGACCGAATCATCTGACCAAAATATCATGTGTCATTCAAAAATTCGCGTAAACTTTGGTTATTTTGGTTATTACCGAAACCGAACCGAAAATAAATGGTTATCACCGAAACCGAACCGTTTATATGTATAAAACCGTATAAATCAAAGTATAAAAACCATATAAACCAAACCCAAAAAACCGAATGCACACCCTGACTTGTCGTAGCGGCCGGTACAAAGGCGCCTCCCATTGGGCGTGCATGCGTGGTCCTCCAGGGAGATTGCCATATGCAAACTGCAACTGATCATGGCACCGAGATCGAGATGCCGGCGAATCTGTGGCAGTGTGGATCAGGCTGTGCTGCATGCATGCAAAGCAGTGCCGGCCGGTACGGTGGCAGTGCCAGTTCTCACCAATCAGACGCCGTCGCTTTAACCCGGCGTCTCATCTCATCTCCTGTACTGTACCCCCTCTCCTCTTGTGGGCCGATGCAAAGCAATCTGCGACAAATGCAGGCGATCAGCTCCGTCCGGCCAGTGTGTGTGTGTGCAAAAGTGGCTTTGGCTACACCTTTCTTTCCCAGGATCCCATGGAGTATCATCCCCACGGCTTTGCAAACGGCATATACTGCTAAAGTACTAGTACTCATTATGGGATGGAGAGAGTAGTTTTCTACACATTCGGCTTCTCCTTGTGTGAGCATGTTCAATTTTGGCATCGTCTTCTGCAGCTCATCAGCCGCCCCAATTATATTGATCGGCACATGTCACTCTCGGATGGAGTACCTTTGGTATTAAAAAGTTCTAAGTAAAAGAAAAAGGATGCACCCACGAAGATGAAGAGGACGGAAGACAAATCTGACATGTACTCCCTCCGTTCTTAAATACAAGTTTTTTTTTAAGATTCCAATACAAGACTACATACAAAGTAAAATAAGTGAATCTATACTTTAAATTACATCTATATACATCAGTATGTAGTCCATAGTGGAATCTCTTCAAAGACTTATATTTAAAAACGGAGAGAGTATATACCATTGCAACTGGAATGTGCAACATTGATCCATCTCAAGAGGAGGAACCATAACTTTCTGGCTGATGTCTGCTGCCGTGCCTGCCCCACTCAAAAAGGAAAGCCCTGGTGGGAGGCGTCTTTGTACTAGCCGCTACGACAAGGCTCCCAAGTTTGCGTGCATGCAAAAAAAAAGGTATATGTGCATGTGAGCCAAGAGAAACTGATTTACATCTCTGTCTTTCAAAAAACAGAGAAATATGCATGCATCTCTCTCAAACTGATTTGCATCTAACAATCCATTTCTCCCAAATGGAGGAAGGGGACCTGCATTGTTGGAGTAATGGGCCACGGGTAGCCCAACCCGAGTCCCCGAGCCTTTCAAGACATTGGGCTTGCGGCGCCCACGAGCCTACAGAATGAGGCACCGCCTTCTGGGGGCCAGCTGGCTCATACGGTCGGCTGCCAGAAGACGGCCAGGTACCAGAAGACGGCACCAAGACGGCCGACTCCTAGCCGGCGGCCTCCGGAGAGGCCGGCTCCTAGCAGGCGGCCCACAGCGCCCTCAGAGTCCGCGCCACCCCATTAAGAAGACAAGACAAGATGAGGCTACAGTGTAGCCCATCACCCCCGTATCGTGGGCCTGGCGTGGCCACAGTGCCCGGTACAGGCGGAGATCTCCGCATGATGCGACACTGTCGCCACTCCGCCCTTGACGTCACCCCTGACCGATAGGGCGTACTCCCACGACGGCCTGTCAGTATGGCCCGCAGGCGGCGGGCCCTACCAGGAAGCCAAGGCCCAGAGGGCGGCGTAGCCTAGTCAGTCGGACCCAAGGGGATCCGGCTTCTGGAAGGCGGCCAGGCTCTCTCTCGGGGCCCGTGCACCATTAACCAGACGAGACACGATGAGGCTACAGTGATCTCCCATGAGACGGTGGGACTATAGCCACACCCTTCCTATGACCAAGCATGCGTCATTAGCCTTATGGCCACAGTACTAGCCAACCAGACCCGCCAGCCGCGGAGGCGGCCTGTCGGCTCCGTACCAGACCAGTCGGCGGGGCCCGTCAAGCGGCGGGCCCCAGCAGCCGGCGGAGAAGTCGGCGACCGGAGACGCAGACAGCCGGGCCCTACGCCCAACCAGACTACCAATGTACCCCTTGGGGTAGGCCCGTATAAGCCCCCCAGGGCACCCATGCTAAGGGTTCGGGATCAGATAGAACTAGACTCATACATAGAGGGAGAAGAGAGCTAGCCCTGCCTCCTTCAACCTTTAGCATACAGCTCGAGGAACACCATTGTACTCACTAGTGCCTTAGTGATCACGCGGAGACCCCGCAGAGCAGGAGTAGGGGTGTTATCTCCTAGGAGAGCCCCAAACTTGGGTAAAGTACGCCGACGTTCGTGTCTACGCCTCATCCCGCTTCCAGGAACCGGCGACATTCTACTCGCTCCCACCATGATAAGCCATCCTTTGGCATATGTCGCATCCAACCCTCGACATTTGGCGCCCACCATGGGGCGAGGTGCACCGTCTTCTGGAGACCTGTTCTGGACAGGAACTATGTTCCTTCCTGGCGAGCGCAGCCAGCCCGGCACGCCTGACGGCGCCTGCATCGACGCGCTGGCGCGGAGGCCGCCTGCGCGGCGAGCCACCTCGCCGATCTTGTTGGCGAGATTTGCCTCTCCGACGAGCCCGCGACCGACTCGGGCGCGGAGTGCCCCGAGAGCCGCCTCGACCAGCTCCATGTTGCCAGCGAGCCTGCT